ACCATCTTCTAACAATATGTGACTACTTTTTTTCTTTTTTAAATAAAGAAATGGAGAATATCAAAGACATTTTGAAATTTTGAAAAACTGACTGTGGATTTCAGACTGCAGGAAGCCATTCTAACACGGACTTCTCTTTTTATTATTTGGAGTTACATATGCAGACATCTTAAGCAAATTCTGTGTAAGTTCAGATTTACTTTGCATGTTAATTTCTGTACAAATGAAAACTGAACAACAAATTGGAAAAAACCTATAGTATACAAAATACTAAAATGTATTATTTAGAAAATATTTGAATATTATACATATGGGTTTTGCTTTGGGTTTTTTTTAAAAACTATGTTTTCTTGACACTTAATTAAATTTAAAAACATTAAGCTTTCTTTTTTAAATGAAATCAAATGTCTTTAATATCTATGTAGAGGAAGCATTGGACTGTTTCTTCAATGAATAAATGTGTTTTTGTTCTCAGTGCATTTGCTTTATTTCCTGGGTATTTTAAAGAGATGCAACAGCTTAGCAAAAGGAAACTTTTAAAAATTCTTAATGAGTTTATAAAGTCTAGATAAAGCCATTCCTAAATTAAAACTGAGAATTGCATCTATATTGCCAGCCAAAATCTGTATTGCCAATATATGCAATGATACTCATATCTTAAGGCAGAAGCTTATTTTGAAAGATTAAGAACATGGCAGGAAATCATGTTCTTTTTAATTTCTGCCTAGCGAATCAGATCACGGCAGTAACTTCACTGAAGATTTCACTACAGAAGTTCTACTTAACAGGGTGAAGAAAACACAGCTAAAATTTTTAAAAAAGCAAGAAACAAACAAACAAAACCTAACTATATCCATGCTTCCCCATGCAAAATAGTTGCAATGTCACTGACCTTACAAGGCTATAACTAGAGCTAGCAACATCTTTATTTTTCATAATGCATGTACTGCAGCACCATTTAGGCATTCCAGTCAAGAACTGAGCTTTGTTCTTTATATGTGTAATGGTACTGAATGGTCTGTGCTTAAAAATGGTGCAGCAGAAAAGAGAGACCTAGAAAGCTGGAATTAATTGAAGCGATAAGACACAGCCACTGGTAGCCGCAATAGCTAGGCAGGAAGAAATCACTGCCTTTTTGTTGCTAACATACTTTTATGGAACACACTACCCTAGTTCCATTTCCAGACCAAGAAAAGTCACTGCATTTGAAAACATCTCTCCAGTTCAAATTGAAAAATAACTCTGGCCACCTTGAAAGAAAAAATAAAAAAAGCGAAAAGATTCAAAGAATCATAAGAATAAGACCACCTGTGCTAGCTCAAAGAGTAAAGAGCAGGATGCAGTTTGAACCTTCTAGAAGAATAGAGGTTAATTTCCCACAGATAGTTCATTTGAACTGCACACTGAATTTCAATAGTGAAAACGTGTTTAGCAAGCAACAAGTATGTAATGAAGAAATAATTTCTGATCCTCTGTGTGTTCATAATGTAACTCTAGAACTATTATGTACTAATATTACAAAAAGAAATATTTCAGGCTTGCACTTCTCCCTGGGACAGAAATCTGTAAGCAGAAAAAATTCTACACATAAGAACACATCAAGCTCTGCACATCTGAAGTCATTTGGAGGCAGACTGGAAGCAATAATTTATTGGGGGGAAGTGGGGCCATGTCTTAAGGACTAGTACAGAGGAAGGGTCACAGTTATTATCTGACAAGCATCAAACAGCCAGTGGAAAATAAATACTCTGGAGCAATGATGAAATTCATGTTAAATGGTCAAGTGATGGTTTCACAGAGTCGCTGAAATATTAGCGAAGAAAAGCAATCAAGAGAAGCCAATGACTTCCTGGATGGTTACTGAGTTTGAGACATCTAAACCGCAGCTTGCTCTTCACATTGCAGTCAAAAAGAACTTTTCATGTTTAAAACTATCTCCTCCAGAAGAGCTCTGACAGATAATACATAAACAGCTATGAAGAACTTACTCTACTGCCATCAGTGCTGTAATAAACTAGAAATCCCAACTTCCAACTCAACACTGCACACTCCCCCCCCAAAAAAAATTACTGAATTACCACACCATTCTGTAAAAGCCTATTTCAGTCACTAATTAAATAGTTACGAATTATTATTTGTTAAAAAAGAATTAGACAGTTCTCACTAGCAAAATCAAATTTAAGAAAATGAGGATTGTATTATTCAATGGCACAGGCTGATCTATAAAGCATTCAAAAGGCTATCCTCTGCACTGAAGTGCTTTTTAAGGCTTCACTTTCAATTGTTAACAGTTCAGGCAACACAACCACAGATTTGGCTTGCTCCTCTTTGTGTGAGCTTACCATCGTTTAAACATTCACATCACAAAAACATTCACTGTTCTTGTGACTATTTCTGTCATCACATTATCTACTATTAGTACTATTATTACTGTTAGTAGTGTATTACAATGCTGAATGGGAAAAACAAAACGGATGAAACATTGTGGTTATATACTTTTACGTATGCTACATATAAACTGCAACATCACATCCCAAAAATAAAATTATATACCAGCAGTGCAGAAACACATTGGTACAGTTCTTGTACACTGCCCTGGTGTTTTACTTTCATATAAATTTTTACACTCCCCACATAGGGCTTAGAAGTCTATTTCTCACTAAGCCAAGATCTCCGTGTCACAGAATTCTACAGACTATTTGCTTTATGTTCCTGTTTCAGGATGGAAAAATCCATTGCTGTGCAAGCAGTGCAGTTAACACAATTTCTGCCCAAATTTTACACTAATAAATTAGTCTAGGATGGCACATCATTCATAACATTTATTTGAGGACTGCATTGATTATACATGAATACAACAAAAAACTTCTTTAACGTGAGGGTAACAGAGCACTGGAACAGGCTGCCCAAAGAGGCTGCGAAGTCTCCTCCTCTGGAAATATTCAAAACCTGCCTGGATTGCCAACTTATGCAACCTACTGAAGGGAAACTGCTTCAGCAAGGGATAGAGCTTGGCAATCTCCAGAGGTCCCTTCAAGCCTCTACAATTCTGTGATGCAGAGAAATTGGTCACTTAACAATAACAAATTTTCCAGCGGTATTAACTCAAGTGCGTAACAAACAACTACTTCTATTCTCTCTGTATAAACTTCTGTCAAGAATCAGCAAATAACATGACTTCGTATTCCCAGAAGGCTGAAACTACATAAAGAGCAAATGTAATTCAAAAGAAAAAGCCCACATTTTAATAATTACCCAAATCACTACTGAACTTAGAAAAGCCAAAATATACATTAAAAAACATTCCTGAATACCAATGATTAAGGGAGAAATCTGCTCAGAATATATTTGTTTTCTATATTTGTTTAACCCAGACCTGAAAGTCTGTCCCAGCAACTTTTACTCCAAATTCAATCCAACTTGTGGCTTTGGAAGTGTACTATTCCACAAGACACTGATCAAAGGCAAAACGTCAACGAAGGTTCAGGGAGATGACAAATACTAAGGTCAGGTCTCTCTCTCTACATATATAACAGCTCCTGTAGCAGAGTCCCAAAACAGCGCTTAGTTCCTATTGCTGGTTGTATTTTTTTTATTTTTATTTCCATTGAAAGCTACTTAGTTGTTGCAAATAGCTCTTCTCAAAACTTCCACTTTTATTTTAGGATCCTTTCAAATGACAAGATATGGCAGCAGGGAACCTGCCAGCCTTCCCCGCTGGAAATCCACCACCAATTGTTTTGGGACAGCAGCTCCTTTTCTCCTTCTCCCAGATGGCTAACATTAGCAAAGGGCTCATTTCTGGAAACTCCCAACAGTAGAACCAGCAGAAGCATCCTCATCTTCACAGTCTGCCACCATCATAACAGACATCTGCAGTCAGGCCTTTGTGGATACATCTGCTGTTCTGCTCCTACTCATTTTTATTTATTTATTTTCTCCACCTTCCCAGTCTCCTTTTCCTAACTCTTCTGCCTTTTCTATCCAAACCCTTCTATCTTCCACAAGCACAAGCAGAAAATAAATAAAAGACAACTGAGGACATCAGCAGGGCTGAAATAAAGTATACATTTCAACAGGACTTATCTTTAAAAGCTGTTTTTTGGAGGGTACACTAAATACGCATCCTCCTGTAACTGAGTGACAAACATCATTTGCCGGTTTTTCCTGCACACTAAGCTGTCAGGGCTGAGGAAGAAGTGGAATACTAAGGAAAACAAAGTAATTTCTAGAGTTGGAAATTTAAGGTAGTATATGAGCACATATCATAGAAAACACTTTATTTATGATTTACAAAATCTGTCTCTAGGTAATGTAAAATTAAGAAATAAGATGCAAACTACAAAATCCAGATGTTTAGATTGTTTTCACATGAGCATCTCATTCACAGTATATAACCACATGTGCTTTTACAGCCACTAAAAATAAAAACATTTTCATGACTTGAAGCTAGCTCTTTTTCGAGCATACAAGAGACACCCTAAGTTGGATTAAAGCAAACCTACATAATTTTGGAACCCATATATCAAACTTACAAAGTTTAAGACAGTTAGTTCTCCAAGGACTAGAACTCCAGTATAAAACTTGTTCCATGGGAGTCATTCAAGGGAAAACAAAACAAAGAACTACTTTAAAGCTGACATAAAAATAAAAATGTAGAATGAAACTCATTTGTAGTCTTACTCCATTCAGTTATAGCAAGGGTCAATTTGGCCCCTGACTGGTAGGAAATACTATCATGGATCATAATTAAATAAAAAGACTTATTTAATTAAAGGAGCCAAATTAACTAGCAAGCAATAGTCTGTAAGATTTCAAACAACTTTCTATCAACAGTAAAGAAATTCATACTTCTTAAATGCATATTGGTTTAAGTTCTCAAAGCAAATTTAGTTTGTCAAATTAGTGTAAGACACAAACACGAATAAGCTATTGTAATGCCAATATTACCTTATTCAAGCAGATTAACTCTTGCTAATTATTAAATTACACATCTGGCCTGCTGCATATTTTTAGCTTGTAATAAGTTCTAATTAGCTATTTGAAAGTGTTCAGGGTGATAGCTGAATATTCGCTGTGCATAAGGATCACTGTCTGTTGCCACTTTTTGTCCCGTATAATGGTGGTAGCTCTCTGGATGAAAGTGTTCACAGTGAAGGTTAATCCATTCCCTTTCAGTACTGTATCTCTCTGCTTCAGCAAGTATTCGTGTTAGAGCCATGATGTAACTCAAAGCCATCTGAAGGGTTTCGTATTTGGAGAGCTTCTTATCCTGACCCCACTGTGGGACCACCTTCCTCAAACGATCAAAGGCTGTGTTCAGCCCTTGCATCCGTCTTCTCTCCCTGGCATTGGCAGCCAATCTTCTCTTGGCAGCACTCTCCATTCTTTCTGTGCTGCACTTCACAACGCAGCCTGCTCCACTTCTGCATTGGATGTCCGATTCTACTCCTGAATCCAAATGACTGGATTTACAGGTTTTCATATTTATTGCAGCTGCAGCTTCACACACATACAGAAAAAAAATTACACTTTAAAACAGAAGTGTCTAAACAGTTGTAGAGAAAGTACTCCTATAAGTAGCCTGTGTACCTCTTGAATCTTTTTCCAGATATTGTCGATGAGATATTTATCTTAGTATAAAAAATAAAAAAAATAAAAAACTCTTCTGGCTCTTCTGGAAGTGTCTGAAAATTGCTTATTGTTTAATGAAAGAATAAAGAGTTCTCAATGCCTTATGCTTTCATTCTTCTCATTTCTGTAAGCTCAATGACATAGATAAAAAAACAACAAAATCTCCATCCTCAAAACACGAGTTAGTGAAGAAAAAGGTCCTTTTAAGCCAGAAAGGATATTAATGGATTAAAAAGACATCCACTCCAATGGCCGTTTCACTTGGAAGGAGTTCTGATGCAGTTTAGGAGGATGTTTTGATAAGAAGAACTGTTGCAATCTGAAGATGTAACTTCTAACAGAAATCTCTCCCTTCTTGACTGCCGCCGGTAAGCAATGATCGTGTCTTACAGACTCGAAGAGGCTTTATAGAAATTGCTGAAGCTAAACAGGTGGTAGCAGGTGGGCGGGCGGCACTCTGCTTCCATCCCAGTACCTTCCCAGCCTGGGAACCACAGGGGGAAGGAAAAAAAAAAAAAAAAAAAAAAAAAAAAACAGTAAAACCCGAACATTACAGCCTTCATCTGTTGAGAAGTCTTCCAAAGCCATTCTGTCCAGCCCTAACAACTTGCCATCTGGAGCCGTGTCTGGCTGGCCCCACAAGACTCTGGGCAGTTAAGCAAAAGATCCTTTCAATTGATAATCTGTTGCAACTCAGGGAAGAAAAAAAACTCTCACTGTGCACTGTAGCATTTGCACTTCAAAATATCTGAAAATTCTGGTAGATAGTATTAGGAGTAAAAAAATTGCTCCAACAAAACAGAGAAGAATTAGCTTGGTGTTGTGTGGCAGAGAATAGTACTGTGCTTTACTGTACAAGACTAAAGCAAAAAAACTCAAATTATCGGGAATCTTGTAGGACTCAAATACAGACCAGTGAGAAGAGAACAGTATCTCGAGAAAAACTGAGATTATATATTTGCATGTCAGCAACATTATGAAAATAATTCAGAACAAGTTTAAACAGTTAAAATGTAGCTATGGATTTATCTAATAATTTTTAAAGTATTTGGAGAGGTTGAGATACAGACACACCAGTACAAACAGTCTGAAAACTGTTCTTTTTAACACGCTCTGCGTAACGTATATATGCATATTTATGTGAATGTAAACATAGAATGTGCCCTCTTAGGAATATCCCCAAATAAGTAACGAGAATAAAAGAAAGTGTGGAAAAGATGAATCTGCTTTCTGGCTGTAAGAGCTTGTTTGTGCTACTAGCTCTAGTGACAGTTAAGTCACCATTCAGGCACACAGAATATAATCTTGGTTTTACAGTACTTGTACTATTAAAACCATTATCCACATACATTACAAGGAAAAAATCATATGAACATGTTATCTTATACACAAAAGGTTAAAAAAAACTGCCACACAATGATTTATTATCTGTATTGATTTCAGACTTAATTAAACTGTTACCAGCATTCATGAATTACTAAGTTTTTTCATTAGAGACTGAATACTGTATATTTATTTAGAACTATGACTCTATCGTTTTCATTATGACTCTAAAACTTGAAGTAGTTGTAAACAGCTGATTAATCTCTAGCAGAAGCAATGACAATGAAATGAGGTTGAATAATCCAAAAACAATAGGATGCAATGGAACACTAATGGACTCGAGCACGACAGATGTTGAACGTAGGCTGTTACGCCCAGTTGGTCTGCTCTTAATATTCTGAATCCTAATGGTCTTGAACAGAGATGATGGTTGGGGTAGGGAGTCTCCATTATTCCATTATCAAAATGTACGATGCATCTTCAATATTTAAAGAAGTACAACTTCATCACATTTCATTATAATATTCAACATTCCTATTTGTGTGCGCTGACCTGTTCTCCCGAATATAAAAAAAAAAGCACTACTGCACATTAATGTGTTCCCTTCTGAATGACAATTTCTGAATACTTGTGAGTGTGAGAGAGATGAAAACAGCACATTTCCAAAAACCACATAACCATATGTCTTTCACAGAAGGATCAGCAATTAGACCTCGTGAGATACTTCTTTTTCTGAAGACATTTCATGGGCAGCAATAAAAAGAAAAAACAACCCACACCTTTAATCTTTATGCCATTGTCACAGCATATTGTAGCACTGCAACTTAATGTGCTCAAATAATTTTAGTTGAATCCTTTGTCACTTAAAATGAATCTCAAGGGACTTTCAATGTGTAAGAAAACAATAAAATTAAAGCATTCGGTTAGTTAATAAATATTGTGCATTCTCATGGACATTTACTACTCAGTTCAAATTATTAATCACTCTTACTATGAAAATAGTGCTGCTAACTTAATGTCTTAAGTATGAAAAGCATTTCTAACTTCATGTTCTGCAAGTATGAATTACAAAGATTTCAAATATAAAAATCACAATTCAGAAAAACCTTCTACTTTACTCCACTAATGAATAGCAAGACAGCAAATGACAGTACCATCAATTTTCCTCCTTTCTAATTGATTCTCCATGATTACCATTCTCTGAGTAACACAATGATATCATCTCAAGAGAGGAGCTGAGTTTTATCTCTCTTCAAGAACAACTAACTTCACTTTGTGCGAATTACTGCAAAATCACAGAATCAGGGCACAAGTCCATCTGGCTGATGAATCTTAGGGCTTACAGGTAAGGTTAAAAATTGTTCCTTGGAAGGTCAAAATGGTTGCTTTTCATGTCTTTTTTTTTTTTTTTTTTTAGTTTCTGCTTTAGATAGAGAAAATATATATTATTCGAGCATACAACTGTTTTTGTTTGATGATATGCATAAGAAAAAATATTTCTGCTCATCTAAAAAGGCTATATTTTTCCACAGAAAAATGAGTATCAGTGTCTTATCCACACAATTTAATTATTTGTTTTATTATTTTAATTATTATTATTTTATAGTCCATTAGCCATATGAAAATACACCATCTCAAGCTAGAAAACAAACTGCTTTACTGCTCAGATAATAGGAAGGGTATCAGTGACATTTTCCCAAGTCTCCCTCACCTGGCCCGATTTTCTCATTTTTCTAGTTTGCCCTGAGTACAGCTCATGTAATTCTACCCTCTTCTCCCTTTATTTTTACTTATTGCTCAGAGATACTCTTTTACAGTTTCCCCTATCACTCCAATAGAAATACTTCCCTATAGGTCTATCAGCAAAGAAAAAAAAAAAAAACTCTCAAGTGAATGCTGGTGTCCTCAAGAGAAATTTAGATGCTTATTCTTATTGGGAAGTTTAATAGCAATCTAGAGCAGTAAAATGAGTTTGCAATAATTTTACCTAGAGCTTCCCAGTGCCATACTGCACACTTCTCAGCATGTTCTTACAACAGTTCATTTTATTCTAACTGCTCTCTGAGGTGATCACTTCCCTCAACAGTTCAACAAGAAAATCTCCCAGCCACATTTAAAGGTCATTGGCCATACTACCCCTCCACTATAGCTTCTTGTCAATTTATCTGTTTCTCTTTGCCATTCATCCTTTTCAATGCCACACTTTCTAAGTAGCTTTCCTTCAGGTGAGATGTGAGACTTAAAAAACCCAGCGTTCCCAGGGATCCTATAGAGCAGCCTTTCAACGTAGCTTTGTTTTAAAGCATCCTTCTACAACAGGAGGACTAAAACAGACTACAAATAGTCAAACATCAAAAAAGAGAGAGGGCTTGTTTTTCCAAGGTATGACAGTAACATGTTTTGCACCTTTAACTATCAAAAATGTTACTCCCTTATATTATGTATAGATGATGATTACTATTACATACATACAGATATACACACATATTTAAAAAAAGACAGCTCAAGAAAAGAAGAAGTTACCACTGAGGATGATGTTGTTACCTTTTGCACTGCTAAAGAAGGACTTAAAAAAAAAAACACCTTTAACCAAATTTCACAGATTCTGTAGACATGGTGGGAACTAAGGCCCAACAATTTATGAACCAGCATATGAGAACTAGGATTTATTTGACCATTTTCAGAAATTTATAAATGTAAATCTAATGAGATCTCTGACACTGATGCAGTACCAGTGTTACAAAACAAAACATCTTAAGCTTGTTACAAAGAATGGGTGAACAAAAATTCAACAGGAAAATCAGCTTACTGAGTTTTTCTATAATCAAAAGATGCGGTCAGACAAATGTAATGCAGTTTAGGACAACTGATCTTAGGACATCTGATCTTAGCAGAGGATGTGATTTGGTACTATTACATCTTACATGCTAAAACTTCAGGCTTTCACTAAAACAGGTCGTCCTACTCCTTTCCTATTCCTAGGGGCTTACTTTGTCTCAAACACTGGCAGTGTAAACCATCACACAGTCATAAGGCAAGTCAGTTCCCCAGTCTGACCGAAACACTACTCCCTTACACTGTAGTAGCGTTCTCTACATTGACCATTTGCTGAACTGATTTAGGCAGTAAGTCACATGGCCATTTGTTTCAGTGTGTAGGAAGTGGCAGCACCATGTGGCTACAGGAAAGTAGGGATGGAGCAGAAAGTGTAGGCATTACCAGGATATGCCCTACTACAGCTACATGACACTAGGTTTAATGTATATCACAGTCTGAGACATTATGATTGATCATGTGTGTCCTTTTGTCCCTCTAATGTAAATCAAAGAAGTCAGTAAACACTATCAGGGAAAGCTGCTATTTGTTAGTCAACCTTTTCAAAACAATTCAGCCTCAGGCAGATATCCAGAGACAAAATTTCTGACTGATTTAGCAAAATTATAAAGAGTAGAAGAAAGGAATCTTTTAAAAAGCATGCAAGGATGATCAAGTATTTACTACTGGTAATCAGAGGTATGGAATGGATTTTGCAGGAGGAACAACTAAGTTAGAATGGACTC